GATTTCATTCAGTGATAAGCTACACACTTCTGTGTTCGGATACTTTTCGGATATGTATAATTTTAACATTATTCATGTAATGACTTTACTGTACTCTGGCCCATTGCCCACAGAGAAAACTGTCTGTACTTCCAGAAGATAGATCTGTGACCGAGGGTACAGAAATAAGAGAGACAAAGCTATCTATCGGTTTCTACAATACAGGGGAATGATAGGAATGTGAAAAATAACCAGTTACACCTGGGAGGTAAAATGAGCATTTAAATAATAAAATAAAAACATGCCCACTTTTAACACACGTTCCCACCACATTCCTGTAAAACATACACATTTTATTTTTATCTTTTTATACACTAATGTGACTCATTATCAGGGTTTTATTTACATAGTGGAGGTTCATGGCAGGGATGAAGATATAGGCTTTGGCCAGCGGGTAATCCATTTTAGAAAGATCGATTCTTGGTTGGTTTTGGTGTTTTTGTTGGATTTTCTATCAATAAATAACTATCCATTCATATCCCAGAAGTACTTTCTTTAACACATTAACATGTGCAGTACATGAACAATCCAAAAGTGCCCACGTGTTTGCCTGGGCTTCATTAGCCAGTCCTTTCTAAATCATACAGTGTGACTCCGACAATGACAAAACTGTAAAGACACTCAACTCTGGGTCGAACCGATGACGCAATGTCTTCATTTGTTTTTGCAGAGCGCATAGCTTCAGGCTATCAGAGTACAATGGGAAGCTGACAACACAAGAAAAACATTGGAAGTGCTGGGAAAATGCACATACTGTGGTGTGGCCAGCCAGCAACAGTAATTACAGACTGGACTGAAGAAAACCAGGAAGGAACCCTCTGTAGGCTCGATAAGCAGGCAGTGTGCCTCATGGACTTCAGCAGCGGGCTCTGCCCTTCACCCGGCCCCAGAGACCACAGTATTATCACAGCCCTCTGAAACCTGGCTGCATGTTCAGCAGCGGTGCCAAAAGATCTGTCACGACGAGCAAGGTAGAAACACTGACAGAACAGATAAGAGTCAGTCAACTTCAGGGGAGAAACCTGTGAGTTTAGACAAAACAGGAGCAGGCTTTGAAGGCTGCTGTCTGCAGACCTTCTGCACACGAGGTGTGTTCACCACATGGCTCCTTCAGAGAGTGATTCCTCTGGACACACTGAGCCTGCCCAGCTGCTGACACAACAACAATTCACTAGAACAATTAATCTGACCATGACTACACTAAAGGAGAACAAATATATCATTTTGAGGGATATTGGAATTGTGATATTCTTTCTCGTTATTACAGGGACTAATAATCTTTGTATCTTTATTATTTGTATCTCTGAAATATAAAGTGTGGTTTGCCAGGATCTCTATCAAATGAACAGTCTGCAAAAATATGATTTATCCATCAGGACTTTCTGCAGCACTACAGTGCTAAATTCAGTATGGCATTTTGACAAATATTTCACCTCCTGCAGATATTGGACTAGTCCATTGCAATGACCATAAAAGTCTGATTAATGATTCAGCCCCAACTACACATTCTCATGTGTAACAATTAATATGTCTTATTTTATAAGAATTAACAGTCAACGAATGAACTAAGACAAAGGAAAACAGACTCACGTACCCTTCAGAAGAGACACACTTGTGAACTTTGATCCTCTTAACCGCCAAAAGTAGCAAATGTAAATCACAAAGGCGAAGACAAACTGCACACTGACTGACACTGAGGGTCAAAGATCAGTGGGCGTCTCTCATTCGTCCATATCACAGGGGTTGAAGGTGCAGACGGCGGTAATACTGCCTGGCAGGAATAGCCGATTCTGTAAGCCAACAATCAGTAAAGCCAGGCCCAGAATAGACATGAAGAGTCATATTTCAGGCCAAAACAGCACATCACATGAAAAGTTATCAACAGGGCTCGACCCTGTAAACAAAACTACCTAAGATGATAACACAAATGTTCAAAGTCCCAATCAATAGCAGACAAACGGTCTAGGCTCACTCATGTTAAACTGTAGCAGGACTTGAAAGCAACACAGAGTAAAGCTTCGCACAACAACAAATAAAAAAACAACACTATGGACTTGCTGTAACATTAGAAGTGTTTTGGTAGTTGAGCGATGCATCATGGTGATGCTCTGAGGAAGAGATACAAAGCCTTATTTTACATTTGAGTGCTCCTTCAGATGCCTCCCTTCCAAACTTCTGCTGCGGAGAGTCTGTTTTCCTGTCTAGATCAAAGCTCAGAGGAGAGCTGCCTCTGTACAATTCCACCTCTGTGATTTTATAGCATGACTCAGATAAGTTTAAACCCTTTTCAGCATGCTCCTCGCTGACCAGCTGGAACGGGTTAATGATATCCTGCTGTGACTTTACCACAGCAAAGTCTCCTTGTCCCTCCTTCAGTGGCTCTATCTCGAGGGGTGCTACGGTTTAGTTGTATGTCATGACATATCTTGGGATGTAGCAGCTTTGAAGAGAGCTTACATATTTGTTGACGTTTACAGGCTAGCAGGCAAAAAGGGAACAACATGCACCACCACTGCTGGTTCCTGGACACATGTGTCTGGTTTTTTCATGCTGTGGAACCAGGAAGGAAACATATTGCTGAGAGGAATGAGAAAGTTTACAACACCTCCCAGGCAATAATGAGCACAAGCTTCCACTCACAGTCTGTTTATCGGGCTGTGTGAAACAGTTACATTGTTTCCATCCACAGTATTACATCCTCACATATCTTTATGAATCAGAAGTATTGTACTGATTCGCTCACTCACTAGGCCTTTCATTTGTTGAAAAATAACTCAGGTATCCACCCGCTGATTTGGACCAATTTTGAAATGGATGGGTTCAATAGGTTTCATGAAAATCAGGTCAGTATCTATCAATCAATCAATCAATCAATGTTTATTTATATAGCCCAATATTACAAATGTTACATTTGTCTCAGTGGACTTCACAGTAGTTGTTTTCCTGTTCTCCTTGTGACAAAGAGGAATTGAAATCATTGGCAATGGTAATGATTTTACAGTAGGAGCAACTTAAAGACTGAAGTAAGCACTGAGACTTGTGGGATAATCTTGCAGGAGACTTTAAATGGAATAGATTGCATCTAAAAGACGAGGTATTATTTTTAGGTTTTCTGTCATCATAATTTAGGCCTCGATGGCTTTTTTTATCTCCACACTGTTTTTAAGTTAAACTCCAGTAAAGCTGTTAATTACAACCTACAAATAAAAGGCTGGCACAGGCATTGGTAGTTTTAAGCTACTGAAGCGGTGCTCTTTTCAAACACTCCGCCAACAAACAAAGTCTGTTTAAAAAATGTGGAAGTTTGTGGACTGTCAATGTCAACTGAAGTGGTTTGATACACCAATATCTCATGGTGGTTACAGGGAAGTCCAGGACATTAGTTGTATTTGCTCGTACAGCCTTGTGATCTGCAGATGTTTACGTTCTCTCCGCTCTAGGGTGACTGTGTTTGTTGGAAGGAGGAGAACATGATTCAGAGTTAAACCTGTAATTACTGGGCTTCAGAACAGAAGCCTTGCAGCTATGTCTACAAAAAAACACTGTTGATAAACTATCGCCAAAAGAGTACTTGTCTCTTGAGAAATACACTGTTGACATTGTCTTTCCATATATTTATAACATAGCACATCAATTACAAAAAAAAACTAGGAGGGGAATTCCAGTAAGAAGAGAATACAGTGGTTGCTGTTTGCGCAAAGAGGTTGTTGAACACAGGGAGCATAAATCACATGCACCATCAGTGTTTAGAACAAAAATGTTAAGGACGATGTTTAGATGTTAGCATGTTCACTGGCAAAATCTTTCTGCAATAAAATGTGGATTTTACAGTCTGATATAAGGGCAAGCTGTATCCTAGACAGTGTTAGAGTAGACAGGAAATGATTGCTCACACAACAATGGGAAGTAGAGCTCACTGTTTGTATGACTATGTTGACCCTCCTTAAAAATGTTGCCGAACAAATCATGGATCATCTTGCAAGACGTATGAGTCACACCGGACTGAGTTCATGCGGTATGGGGAAACGTGGGAGGTATACAAGCTTTTTTTCTGAATGAATCGGAAAAAAATGTTTTTTCCTGCTTCATCAAGAAACCGGTGTTTATCAAAAGTTAATCTGTGAATTTGATCAATTGCAGTGGCTATGTTTCCTTGCCTGTAGACACACTAGAAAACATTAACAGTAGCAGTTTCTGTTTAAACTTCATTCAGTAACCCGACAGTACCACACCTTGCTTTAATATGCAGTGTGTGCCATTACAACCACAGAGACAGGAGGAGGGCTTTACAGTGTGAACGCTGGTGGAGTCAGAAGAGTTTATGAGCCTGTTCACAGAACAACATTAACTTTTACTTAATGGTTGGATTTTTTTAAAACAACAACAACCAAAAGCATTAGCATGGGATTACAATAATCTGGATGTACCTGTTCCTTTGAATTGACAGACACCCTGTGAATCCAGTTTTGAATGGGTTGGCCGGGAGGCATGTTTGAAAGTCAGTGATGTATGCCTCCATGTGATTTATAGCATACACATCAGCATGACAAAAATACAGGTTACACAAGTGGATATAACCTTTGTGTTATCACGTAACAGAGAGAACCCCAGAAGATACCTAACTCTTCTCAGACAGCGTCCTCAACGCGATTATATTAAAACACGAGATTTAACACGTGTTCATTAAATTTCCCCAAAAAAATGATACCTTGCTTTAAAGCCACGTTTCAGAACAAACTGCATTTGCTCGTAATTAGCTTCCTAGTTGATACAAAGAGTAATACCGGTGTAAACTGTGGGTTACTTTGATAAAACAGTTTAAGCGACAACTTGTAATACAACATTGCCGGGGTCATAGCCAAAAACTTGATGTTTTCAAATAAGGACAACAGCACTTCTGTCAGGTGTCTCAATCACTTAGGAAATACATAACAAATAAGGTGTAAAACAAAAGGACTTGCCACATATATCAGTTAGAACTCTCCTTCTTTCCAGTGTGTTTGGTCACACGCCGTCCTGAAGTGTGTGTGTGAGCAGTGTGTCGGTCCTCAGTCCCTGACAGCAGGCAGCAGTGTTTCTGTGCAGCTCTATGGAGCAGCTGGGTCCAGTGTTAGAGGGCGGGGCTCAGGACACATCCCTGAGCACAGCTATGCAGAGCAGCTACTGGGCTGCTGTGAGTTCTCTTTCATCCAGAGGATCCACACTTCCTCATGCCAAACGCATAGTTCAATACTCATCCGACCACCCGCAGTCTGCTGATAGCCTGCAGGACAAAATGACTACTTGCACAACAGGTTGGATTCATGGGGTTTAATCATAGACTGTATTCATTTAAACTGACTTTTTAATGTTAGAAACTGAATAAAAACTAGATTATTAAATCCTTACTAACATGTTTGTAAAAGCCTGTTCATGAGATTAAACTGAAATATCGTGATGTTTATGAATTGTATGAAGAAATAGCTTAGACTCACTCAGACCAAATAAGTGGGAATATAAAGAGTGAAACCTATTTCTGATACAATACACTAGCCTTTCAGGTGTAGTTCCTCATGTTTGCGCCTGGGCTCCATACGTGTCCGGACCAGTCAACACATTACACATTTTACAGCGTGTCAGCAGAAACTACAGTCCACGCAGCACATGGACAAAAGCATTGACAATCTGAAAACGAGTGCGCAAAAAATGGAGACCCTGGTCTGAATATCTTTAGCATGAAAGCAAATGTCGCCATCTTGAGGTCAGGCTGTGAAACTACAGGAGATTAGTTAAGACTCGGAAATACGTTGAGCCCCGGGGGAAATTGGAGTAGGTCTACGCCAGTTGCTTCGATTGTAAGTTATTGAAACATTTTAAATACAAACTAGTATGTCAAATATGTTCGTTGTACTTCAATAAATAGTATTACAATAAAATGAAAACAATATAAAAACGTATAACCAGTGTGTTGCACGATTACAATAGTATTATTGCACAGGGCATAGATGTTCACCAAAAGTAAGAAAACACATTTCCCCACTAACCCATGGTAATTGTGATTTAGTTTGTCCACGTTTTAGATCTTTAATTTTTCTTTCTTGTTCCTTCTTTTCCTTAAACATTTTTCTACGCAATTCAATGGAGATTGGTGAATTTTCTTTTTAATTCTCACAGCATTTGAACATGTTGGAAACAGTGCTTTAACTTCAGAACACAAGTTTATTTTTGACTGAAATAGCCACTTTGGCTAATTTATTAATTACATTTAGAAACGATTTTTTTCATATATTCCAGTTTAAACCAGCTTCAGCTACTGTGAGTTGGTACCTGTTTAAGAGATGTTATGCATGAGGTGATGACCTCTCCGTGACGGATATCAGCTGTGGCGCTGTCTGATTCTCAGCATCACAGCCACACCCTCCTCACAGTGCAGCAGCAGCAGCAGCCGCAGCAGCCGCAGCAGCAGCATGGTGATGAGGATGGGGATGCAAGTCGCACTGCTAGTTTTGGCTCTCACGACTGTCTGCAATGGCATCCTCCCTGAGATAGTGAACTCAGGCATCAGTCACATCCTGCTGGATAATTCGGTCCAGGGAGGCACGGAGCAGGACAGCACGTTTGTGGAAGTGGAGCAGCTGCCAGAGGATCTGCAGCACAAGCCTGAGGATGCGTTTCATCAAGTAGGCAGACAGTTAGTCAGCATCTAGTTTTTACATGACATGGCATTATTTCACTGCTCACTTCAGATCAAAACTGTGTATTTGTATACATAGTTGGCTGGTATAATGAGATCTATTTTTAGTGAGGAATAGACAGTTAAAAAAAAAGCAGCAGAGCTAGAATATGGGAGTGACTTCTTAATGCATAATTTTACCTCAAATCTGTATCTGATCATCTCTCCAATTCTTCTAGAAGGACAACGAGAGTGACAGTTCCAGCCCTCATCCCAATAACCTTCCTCCAAGTCATCACAACGAAACTGCTTCTGATAATGAATCCGTCCACACCTCAGTAGAACGGGTACGTTTAAAAACAGTAAACAAAAGTGAGATTGTGCTTGTTTCCCTTTGTGAATGAAACCTAACAGATGTCCCATCTTCACAAAGGAGATGAACAACATTACAACAGACGCCCAGTTCAGTGACCTGGGGAACAATATTGATAATGTAAGTTTTTCCTATGGTCTTATATAATATGGACCAGAACACACATCTATCTTTAAGTAAAAAAATTATCAATATGTCTTAATGTCTGCCATCATTAAACAGCCATCTACTTGGGATAATGCCCAGCTGATAAAAAGTGTGTGTGGGATGTGCAGTGTGTTCCTGTAATTATGCAGTGCATTTTTCAAAGTGCTGACTGGCTTTTGGGGGAATTCACTTCACGGAAAAGCTTCCTCTGCAAGTTACCATATTGCATCTTAATAACTTTTACATTTTTATTTTTAGAGTTTGTTTAACACACCAGATAAAAACTATTACCTGAATGACCTTGTCAGAATAATAATGATGTGGATCATCACCTTAGCATATTGCAAGTCTACATTTTTATTGTATTAAACATTTTTTTACTTTGTTTAATGGCAGAAGAACTGGATTATGTTTACCTGTACGTACTTTGGGACACTAGTCTGTCCCAGTTTCAAGAGTTAAAAATAAAACTCCTTTTAAATATGTGGCAGCTTTAAATATTCAATAAAGAGTCACATGATAAACTGATGGGTGGGCACACATTTTAAGACGGATATTTGCTTTGCATATTTTACAATAAAATGCATAATTTGAGTATTGATTGATTTGAGTAGATCATCAGGAAATCACTCATGTTCATGGAAACATAGACAACCTTGTTATTCCATGTGTTGGAGTTAGAAGTAAATCCTCTCTCTTGTGTCTAGGGATGCAGTGCTGATGGAGACTGTGGGAAGGACCGATATTGCCTTCATGACACACACAACTCCAAGTGTCTGCCTTGTAAAGCAACCGATATGGTAGGTGAACTTTAGTTACATTTATGTGGACGACTGCACTATTTTGGCATTTATTTTCTCTAAAATGTTGCTTTCAAACACACACACACACACACACACACACACACACACACACACACACACACACACACACACACACACACACACACACACACACACACACACACACACACACACACACACACACACACACACACACAGTCCCTTCCGGCGGGCTGGGGTTTCACTCGGACTGCATTGCAGCGTGTCCACAAGTGTAACCGGAGTGTGTTGTTTGTGAACACTCTGTCCTATGAGGTGCACATGAAAGAACATCATGTGTCAAGGTTAAATATGAGCTCCTCTTTACCCGCTGCTGTCTCTCTCAAAGGACGTCTACAACTAAAATAATATCAGTAATGAAAGTCTTCTCTCTAGAGAGTCAGCCATTGGTTTTTATTTAAGACTACCTTACTGCTGCTTATTCATAGTGCCTTCATTGGATGAACTATATAGCAGACAGAAGCAGTGCAAAGAGATGAAGATGCTGGCAGTCTGCCAAACACCGATACAGTGTACATTGATAATAAATACATAGAGGACAGGATCTGTGTCTCGTCAAATATGCTGCACTGGAAAACTCTGCATGGAAATAACCAGAACACTGTCGCCCGTATCCCCAAATTAACAATTCATAAAGGTTGTGTTCTTATCTTACTGCTATCAGAGACCAGGTGACCCACGGATCTCATGTATATTTAATTTAAAGAATTAGCAGACCTCACGCTAGAGATAATCATTGTCATTCACAGGGTGAGTTTCAGCCTTTTTAAACGCATGCCATGAGCTAATCTTTGTGACTTTTAAGACACCTGTGTCGCAAAGATAATTTGATTAACCATACTAACATCTTGGCTGTTTGGTGATATCATAGACTGTATAGGTAATTCCTGTGTAAATGCAAAGTTAGGAAAATTAAAAACATTGATTGACTGAAATTATTATTGCAGAGAAAAAATGTTTTCTATACACCAAATGCAGCTGCCCGGCGTATCCAAGACTTGTATTTCAATCCTTTATAAAAAAAATAGCCCTGATGCATGCGGTACGGTGCAGCTGCGGTTAGCGGTTATAAATTGTTATTTTATTTTCCTGTCATGTTGTCTGTACATCAATGTTTTCTTTTTCTTATTTTCCTTGTGTCCATTTCCTTGCTTCTCTACATCATATAGAGCCATCTAGTGGTAAAACTTTGCATTTGTCACCTGTGAGTTTCTTTGCTTTTTTAAGGTATTTTCATTCATCTTGTATATAAAGGTTACCCCCTGAATAAGATGTGTGTGCTCACGCATTGCCTATTTATTAATGCCACCATGAAATAGCAATTTGATTAAGGTTTTTATAACTTTTTGTCAGCAGAGTGCTTTTGACCTTTCTGCTTAAACCATTTTCTCTCTATTCTCTCAGTCCTGCACTAAGGATAAGGAGTGCTGTGGGGACCAGCTGTGTGTATGGGGTCAGTGCAGTGTGAATGCAACAAAAGGAGAGGCGGGCAGCACTTGTGAACATCAGACCGACTGCAGCCCGGACCTCTGCTGTCTTTTCCACAAAGGTACAGTTCAGCACACTGTTCACTGTATGCTGCTAAACTATTCTCTGCATTCTCTCGCAACATGTATCTGTGTGTTGTCCTTGTGTTCAGCGCTGCTCTTCCCTGTCTGCTCGACCAAGCCCATAGAGCGTGAGCGCTGCTTTGGGGCCTCCAACCACCTGCTGGAGCTGCTGTCCTGGGACGTCCAGGACGATGGACCCAGGAAACATTGCCCCTGTGCAGGAAATCTCCACTGCCAGCATCTGGGGTGAGTGAAGAACATAATAGCATATCATTGTTTTTGAGTAATCTATTCTCATAAAATCATTACAAAATGACATTAAAGGAATCCTTCACCCTCTGAGTTATCATTTGTTTATAATTACGCACCCAGTGTTACCTTGAACTGTGTTTTTGTCCCATGCCTCCAAGGTGAATAACAAATCCAAAAACTGAAGAAAAGTATGAATGAAAGTAAATGGGGGCAGCGTTCAACAACAGCAAAACTACATCAAGCATCCTTTTACAAAACCTCCACAACGTGTGTTGCACAATCCAAGTTTGATTTATATCATCATATGTTACTACTTTCAAAACATACAGCACACCTGCTCCAATGTGACTTTTTAAGTGTATGACATTTAGTGAAAAAGCTTATGTTTTGGAAGTAGTGATTATACAACTGAAAAAATTTGACTTTGAGATTATATTGCACAAGTTTTAGTTTTGATATAGTTTTGTTATTAAAGACAGCCTGCTTGTACATCAGTTAGTAAAGAGTGTTTTCTCCCTTTTTGGATTCTTTATTTACGGCGGAGGCACTAGAAATAAACGTTTTCTTCAATATCTAAAGGACACACGGTGTAATGACTCCATTTAAAAACGGGGGAAGTATTTCTTTAAAGCTTTATATGTATTTTACTAAATGTCTTTATCCCCAATACTACACTGAGGTGCTCTGCTTTTCGACAGGCGAGGGTCCATGTGCCTTAAAGGAGAGGACTCGAGTGAAGAGGAACTGACAGACAGTCTGTACTCAGAGATAGACTATATCATCTGACCCTGGGGTCCCCACTGACTCCACAGCTTTGTTGCAAAGAGCACTTTCTGTTTGCCAGCTTAATCCAAAGTGGTAAAGATACACAGCATGGAATATATATTTTTTTAATTTGCTATTATTTAGACCTGAGGATAAAGATAGATATAAAAAGGTACTAACAAAAAACAGGAATCATTATATTTGCAGTCATGTGTTGATAATATTCCTCACTACTTAATGCATCATCTTAACTTCAACCCTTATCTAATGTCACAGCCCTTCAATGGACAGTAACACAATACATCTTCTAGACACTGCATCTCTGTTGACTATTCACCTCACATCAGCTTTTTCTGTCATCTGTATGACATATTTCAGCTGATATCATGTTGAATTAGCAGCACTGCATCTTCTCAATTGAGACCAAAATAATACACCCAGTTTGCAATACGAATGAACTAACTATGCACCAAGAAGGATGCACTGTGTACTGAATAGTAAAAGAAAAACACAGTATCACAGGAGCATGCAATACTAGTATTATGTGATGCTTTCAATACTCCCTTGAGCAATACTTGTGTATTTCAGCACTCTGTGAAAGTATTAGGTTAACATGTAAATAGACAGTTGGTCATATTGGATGCTCATTTGCATCCTTGTACATGTCTGACATAACCTCAGTTTTGTTTGAGAGTAAATCTAATATCAATCCCGTGAAGTTGTTTGTACCAAACCTTTTCCGTTAGCATTCCTGATGAAATGTTTTGGTTGCTTGATCCTAGCAATATCTGCTAAGTACTTATTATATGGCAGTGACGACATATACTGTACGCACAACAGGTGTCCAACATGCCACGTTGTTATATATTCTATCTATATGTATATATATATATATATTAATTGTGTAATGTGCTTTTCTTGTGTTTGTTTTTTCCTTTTCTATCAACTTATTTTAATTGTCTTTCAAGCAATATCTCGTATGCAACAGCATGTCAACATATCAGATGTTGGTTCAACACAACTGCTTATTCAAGTAAACTAATTCAACTATAGTCAACTCGGGACTTGGACCTTGTTTGAAAATGTAACAAATCCTGTATTAGCACCAATAAATCGTATTGTCTGAATACATTTATATTAGTGAATTTGTACTTTTCTGAATTCTCATCTATTAAATGTGGAAATATGAAAATGACAAAGCAATAACTGTTCCTTAACAATCACTTATCAGCCCAAAGATCTGTATCATCTCATCCAAAGTTATAGTACTTTTATTTAATTTTGAGTGTTCATGTTTATGTGTTATTTTGGATAACCTAATCAAGTTTTGAGTTGTCAATGAGCTGTTGTCCACGCCTGTATCTCCAGCTAATGTGTTACACCTCATGTATGTGTTCTGTGTCTGCCATGTACAATGTGACTCAATATGTCAGCATCCCGACAGGAGGGTGTGAAACAAATACAAGCTACAACTGATGCGAGTACAGCCGTTGTACTAGGAACTTGTGCGTGGTGTTAACTTACAAACCGCTCAAACATAACCTCTGTTTGAAGCACCCTTGACATGCAGCTTGTCCAGCCCTTGCCTTTAGATCAATCAAAGTCTATTGAGCACCAAAACCCCTATTCCTAAAAATTTGAGTAGGATTTGTGAGTTAAATTGAGCCATTTTTAATTTACAGTTACAGAAAACTGCAGTTATGGAAAAAAAAATCTTTTCAATTCATTTCTAAAATCATCTTAAACTATTTTCACACAGGATTTAAATCTCAAGAAAAACACAAAAAAAAAAGTTATTGGCATTTCTACAGTGAATAGCTGGTGGCAGCATCAGGAGCATCAGGCCGCGATGCCGAGCTTCAGTCCGGCTTTCTGCACCCTCTGGTGTCAGTCTATAGAGCAGCAGCAGCAGCAGGTAGAAGCGCCAAGAACAACCTCACACTCTGTCAAACCCCACAGAGAGCTCCCTCACACACAGTAGAGATGTACACCCAGTTCAAATGATGAAAACAAAAACAGAAATCCACTTTGTTAATTAAAGGTTAATACAGACAACAGATGTGTGCCCGGTGCCTCATGACACTTAAATGAATGATAACGCCTGGAGCTAAATAATAATTTACAACAGACAAACTAGACAAGGAGATTGTTAACATAGTTGTCTTGGTTCCGTTTCATTGAACTTTGTATTAAAAGGTACCAATACGCTATGCATCACTCAATCTAGTGGAAGTGGTGTAAGAGAGGTAAAGGTCCTATAAAGCACAAAGAGCAGCAGTCAGGAAAACCCATATCAACATATTACTCCGGCTTTTATAGAAGCAGAATCAACCTCAGGATTACAAATTCTTAAATTGTTGCTTTTTGATTCTTCAAATCTTGTGAAAGAAGTTGTCAAAGTCACTGAGAGAGTGAGGTTTGCCTCACCGGAAGAGGTGAGACGGAGGAAGGCTGGATAAGTAGTTCTTGGTTGTGTGTGCTGTTGGTTTTTAATTGTTTGAAGGAAGGAGAGCGATGCATGTAAGAATAATTTCTGTAAGAGCAGAGCTCGGGGGATGTGAGCATATGGACTTACAAGATGGTCACTGATGAATCAGAATCAACTCTATTCCTGAAACAGGAAGAGAAACACAGTGACGAGGAGGAGTGAGAGGAGACTGAAATAGACGCGATGGATGCTTTCTAGCTCAGTTTCACAATCCTAACATCTCTGGAGCTTTCACGTTCAATTGATTTGGGTTTACAGTATTTGATTCTTTATCTGTATTCAATAGCTTTTGTACTTCCCTTTAAACTTCACAGTACAATACACTATAGTGCACAACAGGGTTTCTGAACCAGTCCTGGGACTCAGAGTGGAGGGTGTGAGCTCATTAGCCTCACAAAGCTGCTTGATGTTCAAGTAAGTATCAGGCCGGACTCTCAGTCCTGCAGCCTGGAGGCTCTGCTGCTGCAGCCGGACATCCTGATAGGAGGAGCGCGGCTCACTCCTCAGTCCTGCCCCGAGTCCTTGGGGGGGCCCCCGTCCAGGTAGATCTTGAGGGCCTTCTCCTTGCGCGGCGAGTAGCTGACACGGTGTCCGGTCTTCAGCAGACGGCTGCTCTCCTTCTTCATCAGCTCACTGCGCTCCTCGTCCGACAGCTCCATCGGCTCCTCTGAGCTGTGCCTGCATAAAGAGCACAGTGATGTTCATCCCAAGTCACAAATTCATTCTTATCTAAGGATCTACATAAACCGAAAATTCACAGGATCTTATCGGCTTCGCTCCAAGGACTTGTTTCTTCTAACTGTACCAAAAGACGGTACTGAAGTGGGGAAGAGGGCGTTTAGTTACGCTGCTCCTGTGGCTTGGAACCAGCTGCAAATTGAGCTGAAACTCAGAGAGCTGGTTTCTTTAAAAAGATTCAAAACGACTCTCAATGACCTTGAAACAAGCCGCTGTGGCTGTAAATGCTTTGGCTCAACTTGTTGCATGACTGTGTTGTGATTGTGTGTTTTAAAATAGTCTGTAACTGTGCTATCTTGGGCCAGGACTCTCTTGAAAAAGAGACTTTTAATCTCAATGACACCTGTCCTGGTTAAATAAAAGGTTACAAGGTTTGAAATTGTATATTTTAAGAAGCTTATTCAGCTTTTTTCAGGAATATTTACAAATTGTATTCTGTATGTATATAATATATAGAAAGTATATTGTAATAATATCAATATTAAGGGTTAGATAAACCAATTTAACACATACAACATATGTTCCTTTATTTATAGAAGTCTGCACTCCAGGTTTTACATGTAGTTCTTGTCAGTTCTTGAGTGTGTGCTGTGATGGTTTTACCTGAAGAAGACCACAGCTCCGTCGTCACAGATGTACAGAGGCCACACGTTGAGAGTCGACACCTTGGGGTTCCAGTCCAGATCCTGATGGATCTCCAACACGGAAATATCACAGGGAAATGTTCCTCTACCCTGTTCAAAGGAGAAGGATATATTCTCAGTAACAGGTCGGACACTAAGAACTAGGGATGCTCCGATCGCCAATTTCGGGGCAGATCACCGGAATCAGTATCGGCCGATGCCGATCCGATCGAGTGGGCGGGGCCTAAATGGAAGATTTAAACTTTAAATCTTCTATTTAAAGTGATGTTTAAAACTCAGTTAATGGGGCTCATTCACTGGAGCTTCCACAAACAACTTAATTATTACATTCAAATGATGTACATTATTCAAGTTTACATTAACTTTGGAGAATAACACGGGAGAAATGAGCGGAAGCGCTCTCTTTTCCTCTCTCCCTCCCCCCCCTCCTGACAGCCTGTCAGTATCTCATGCAGCTCACTGATCCAGTAATGAGTGACCCGACAGTGAAGAATCAATATATTTATAATGACTAGTTTAGCTTGTTCCAGAGGTAGATCAAATAGCTAAGTGTGTTATAACTCTTGTGTGTTTCGCTCCGCTTACCGGTCCGGCGGGCGGAGCTGCAGGATTCTGCTTCACTCACGTTGCATACTGCTATTTTACTGTCTTTTTCGGACACCTTGAAATAATGCCAGACCGGTGAAGCCATTTTGGTGAGCTTGTTTTGCCGCACACAGAGAAAAGTGTCATGTATTTTACGTCATGCGATCGGCATGTTTAGAGAGCACCGATCGATCGGTAGAAAGTGAGTATCGGCCGATCTCGATCGCTGACCGATCGATCGGAGCATCCCTACTAAGAACAAAACAAGTGTCATTTGTTTACAAGTATGATATTTATGTATATCTCACATACCTTTGCAAACTCCAGGTTCTGGAGAGGAATATCGCCTAATTCACTTAGCTGCAAACGGAAGAAGGAAATTAGTTTGAAAAAGCCAATGAAAGTCACAATTTCATTTTCAAAGTGTAATGGTGTTCAGTGATAATGAGTGTGCATGATTCATGATTATCTCACTGCAAAATTACAGTTTGTATGTGAACAGCAGTGAAAATGAACAGACACGTCACCAACAATCAGTGCTTATTATGACATTTATTTTTTCGTGTTTCGTTTCGCATTTCTTGCATTTTAGTGTTTGTTAACTAGGATAAGATCATTGTAACTGTTTTAAATGGTTAAATAACAGACACTTGGATAAGTAAAAAGAACTGTGAGAAGCATCCAGCAGCACACATACCTTCTGCTTGAGTTCTTCCACATTGCTGCTCTCTAGGATAACTTCCTGGAAAGGCCCCAGCTTCATAGTAGAGGGGCTCCACCTCCGGCTCAGGACCGCCAGCTGCGACATGGACTTCATCTTCTCCGGATCTGAGACACAAATCATGACAGACCATCGATACAGGACATTGTTTCACCTCGAGAAAGAACATGTTTCCCTGCAGGATGACACTAGCTTTATCTGCAGCTTCAAATCATGGGTTTCCAAAATCAAATGACAATATAATTGAGCGATTTTTTCTTCACTGTGACATTTTCACGAGTGTCTCGAAAAAACAGATCATCTCCCCTTTTATTGGTTTAGTTTCTCAAATTAGAACTCACTTTTAGTTCTGCTTCAAAATATAGCTTCTCAAGATACAAACTTTATTTAATTGTGGTTATTATTACACGTTATAAAACGGACAATTCAAATCAAGCAATCTGATTGGTTCTTAGCCGTGATATAATGAGTGTATCCCACGAGTAGAATTGTAGTTACTTTTCACAACAAGTCAGTATCCCTCCGCGTCTGAGAAAAACTGTATACAGTTGGTCTGAAAAGCAAACTGCCTGCAGTTTGCTTTTCAGACTGGAACAAGAAAACAGCGGAGAAGTAACGGGGCAGAAACCCTCATTTTTACGCAGCGGTCCAGACATAGACATCAAAACATATTCAGTGTGCAGTTACTTTTGCATTAGGGCAGGGATATCTAGATACTTTCCAAGGTTTGACACAATGAATTGTGCTACTTTTAAAGCAAGCAACGATGTTTTCAAATCTGTAATCAAAAAGGTCCACAAAAACGCTAGTTATAGTTCAAACGACTATTTTTGATCTGCCTGTCGGGGATTCTTTTACCCATAATGAGTATTATTGCGTATTATTGCTTAATTAACCCATTGAACTGTGGTTAAACCAAACTGCAGATTGAGTGTTACCATTGAGAACTTCCAGGAAGACCTCCCAGTTGGAGGAGATGCTGATGTCCTCTTCATAGACGTGGTAGTCCAGAAACACCGTGCCTGGGTTCTTCCAGGTCTTTTTCCTGAGACGGACACTAGGCACACAGACACACACATTGTTCGGTAAGAACACCTACACTTTGTTATAACACATTTATATAAAAAGAAAACTATGACAAAGTCTCACCTCTCGATGCTTAGGTCGAGCTTGCAGTGCTCTTTTAGCTGAGGGAGCAGCTCCTCTTTGGACTGCCTGACCGTCATGCCCTTGGCGAACACCGTGTCCACCAGGAACTTACACGGCTGGAAACAGAGACATGGATACATTTGCAATATGTGTGACAGTAATTGATCAGTCACTATCTTTTTTAGCACAGGGAGAGAAACAACTCTTACCTCCGTTTCATTCACTAGTAGCTGATACACTTTCACTCTGTATTCACCCTTTTTCAGTGCTCTCCCTAGTCGAATAGTTATCTACGGGAAGCGATGAAATGTAAAGTTAAGTCATGTATTGGCTCACTGAAACTCAAACATACTTAAAATTGGCAAATCAATTCTGGATGGGATCCTGACCTTGTTATCGTCAGAGAACGATGAGAGTGTTTCATTGAGCCGTACACTCTCGAACTCCTGGTTGTTGGCGTACACCCGGAACACCTTGAACTGAGTGGAGGCGACTCCCACGTAGGGCTCCATGTTCTGTTTGAATGCTGCTAATGTTATTCTCTTGTCCACGTGAACAACTACACCTGAAGTAGATAAAAAGAAACAAAATAAATGAAACATTTGGTCCGATGTTCTGCCCTCTTGATGAAGGAATACGCATGTTATTGTGTCAGCTAGAGATGCACAGACTGCACATTTCCTGATCGATTTTGTGACATGCCAATTCAGATTTTTTCTGATTCTAAATATTTCTAAGAACTACAATTGACAGTATACACAAAACATTTGTGTATCTTTTCTGATAGGAAAATGTAAAATTCAAATGGTATGTTCCTTGTGAAACCATATAGATTTTTTCTTTCAAACCGTACTAATTTACAGAACCTTCTTGATTTTAAGGTTTTAATTTCTGCATGGCTTATTTTGGACTTGCCGGTCTTAAATAGCAAATTGCACTCGAGTACATCTTTTCTGTTATTCCTTTAAACTGCACAATAAATAGAAAGTCCATACATTTTTGTGCATCCGACGTGGCGTCCTCCGGAGAACACGGCTCTGCTCTGAAGAACAGGTACTGAGCCTCTGCCTTGATCTTCCCGTTGTCGTCGTACTCGCTGTCCGTCCCTGAGTCTTCTTCAGCCGTGTCCCAGGTCTCCTTCTTGCCCTCGTGGGCTTTGGAGCGGCGGCTGCTTGTGATGCTGTGAGAGTCCAAGCCGTTGGCCAGCTGTATGGGCCCGCTGTCCGCATTGCACAGAGTGTCACTGCTGTGGCTGGAGCTCAGGATGTCGCTGTCCACCGAGCTGGTGCTGCGGTCGTTGTTCACCTCAGAGTCCGAGCGCTCCTCGGAGGCAAAGTTGTTGTCGGGGTCCGAGGAGGCGCCGCTGCTGCCCCCGGCCCTGATCCGGTTCTCTAGCTCCCTGTTGTCTGCAGCCACACAGAGCGAAGAGTTTGAGTCAGCCTCCTGGCTCGGGGACTCGATATGTTCAAAGTCAGAGCTTTTCTGGCTGTCGCTGGTGCTGGAGCCCTGCGGCTGCAGAGACAGACTCTTTAACTTATCTGTGCTCTCCTCCAGGATCGCCTCTCCTGATTTTCTGTCACCCTTTGAACCCTCTAAGGGTACATCAGAGTCAGCTCCTTCTCTTTGACAAGGAGTCCTGTTGGCCAAGGTACCAGGAGACTGCTCAGGCAGTGAGACCAAGAGCCGGATCGTGTTTCCGTGACGATCCAACAGTTTCCACAGGAGCGAGTCAGTGAAAGCAACCTGATGATCCGTCGACTCGGAGCTCTCTACAAAAACCTGTGGAAAAACAAATTGAAACACAGGTTAAAACTCAAAAGTGCTTAAGTCGATTTGTTGATACATAACTGGCACTGGTATTTGGCAAAATTATAAAGAAAAATTAGCAAAATGTGTGAAATTAGATCTGCAAGACATACTTTAGTATTATTTTTGTTGTATTGTTTTTTGTTTTAGTTTGAGAATCTAGTGTGGAAGATGGGAACACAATGGGGAAAAAACCCACAACAGCTCATAGATTGAAATGAAATCTAATAAAACATGTCGTGACCTTGTTGCTCCTGAAAAACCCTTCAGCTTTCAGTGTCTTGTTTGGAACATACAGGAGCCGAAGGTCGTTATAGCAACGCTCCAGGACGACACGCATGGCTTCTGCAGATAGCCCGGTAGCCTGGAGAAACAAACAAGTCTTCAGTCACATTTTCACTCTTTACAGTTTTCTGTGCTGATGATTAAAACAGAACGTTGAGGAATGAGGAGAAGATGTGGTGTAGAAACTGAGGAGAGAAGGAAACCTGTGCAATAAGCAGTTTGAATTCAGTGATCGACTGGTTCAAGTAGGCCCGGACACTGATTGGAGTTGCGATGCTCTCAGTCTTCAGATCCACAACGTGAACCTTCACCATCACCTCTGCAGAAAATCATAAAACACAGTCACAAGGAAATAAAGCAAATATATAGCTTGGTATTCTGACACATCTACATCCATTACTAGTGTATAGTCTATTTGCTCCTTTCCCTCAGAGTTGTATATAATCATTCATGATTTATTGGTCTCATACTTCACAAAAGGACCTTTGCGGCACTGGCTATGAAAAAACAAGTATGAATAAAACGTAGCTGTACTGACCTCCAGGTTTGTAAGGCTGGAACACTTGCTCTGGTTTGCGGATCTCCAGCAGCAGGTCGAACATATACGAGGACTTGACTCCTCCGAGCAGCATGCCCATGGGTGTGTCCTCCTCCCCTTCGTAGGAGCGCTCCAGGTACTCGTGGAACTCGTCGTACTTCACCAGGCGGCAGCAGTCCAGAGGCACAGCTCCATCCAGCTCCATCAGCTGAAGCACAGAACACGTACAGTATTACTACACAATAATACCTTTCCGATATTTAACACTCAGAGGTCGAGTTGTTGCAAAGTCAGGTGGTCGTTAAACCTTGTAGGCCATTTCTGTTGCTTCTCTGAGAGTTTTGTCCTTGTGTACTTCCAGCTTGCTCTCCATCATCGTCTTCACAGGACGCATGCAGAAAAGCTTTATCTGGAGATAAAATGGAAGAGAGCGATAAGAGTTCAACTTGTTTTAATAGAGAATCCTCATTCAGACACATACAACAGATATTAAACTGATCTAAAAAAGGTACCTTGCAAGTGTTGCGTTCGATCTCCCTCTGTCGCTTTTCTTGCTCTTCAGATTCTTTCTCCTTCTGAACCAAACTCTTTACGTGCTCTGGGAAGTCCTCCGCATCGAAATACTCTGCAGACAGGACAGACAGGATACACTTTAGAACTGCACACTAATTCTAGGAGCAGCACACCAAGGGCAAACCATAGTCAAATAAACAGTTAGATAATCATCAAGATATTAAAATAACCTATGAACACCGTGTGATTTCTACTGATGTGATGCACATTTCAGGACAATAGCTCAAGCTGTTGGCTCATTCAATATGAGGGCTGATCAAAACTGTCACTACAGTTAACATAATAGCACTAAATGACCCAATTCATCACAGAATGGCATTGCCTCTAACATTACCATGAAGGCACAATTATGTTGGTCTGAACCAAAGCAGATTGAAAAAAAAAGATGTCTTACTTGCATTCTTTGAGGCATCTTTCAATCTATAAATCAGCATATATGCATTTGTAGAACTGTTAGGAGAAAAAAAAAGATGTAAGATGTCTTGATAATGATTGCATGTGATGTAGAAATGTAGTTCTCTCAGCTCTTTGAAAAGCTTCATATTGCTTTTAAAATACATGAGATAATTAACAAAGAATAAATCCGGAAGTTTTTCCTTGTACGATGTGAGGGTCTAAGGTCAGAGGGTGTTGTTTTCTCATACTGATATTCTGCACAAACTGTGCATTTTATTCTGCATTTACTGTATAGTGTCCTTACTGTAAGGTCATTATTATATGTATAGCACTTTGGCTCGACCAAAAATCGTTTTAAAAATGTGCTATATAAATAAAACTTGATTTGATTTGATAAATGGGCACATCTTGATTTTCCTGATTATTGTATTCCCCAACCCAGTGCACTGTAAGCATGTGATGTCATGTGATATGATTTGGTGTTGGAGGCAGATATGGGAGACAACTCACCTCGCAAAGGCACTGGAGTAATAGCCTCTGCTCCCTGAGGAGCCCCCATATGTCTTCCTGATATCATCTAGAGTGATCTGTCAAACAGAAGCATACTGCATGATTTCATAGATACTACTTTGTTAATGACAAGTAGAAGATGCTAAGTGTCAAAAGTCAAAGTCAACTTTAATGTCAATCTTACTCAGTTTTTGTTTACAGACAGAGAGATCGAAATGAAGTTTCCAACAATTCCAAGTGTAGTACAAACTGATGAGCTAACACTGATACAGTCTGATGAGTCAAACTGCCCGACATTTAAGTGCTGAATGGACCAAACAGGTAGCTGAAGCGCTGAGGCTGACCTTGCTAACGTGCTGATCATTGAAACTGTACCACTGGCCATCAGTGAAGGATTTGATGCAGGCGTAGTAGTGGCCACCCGCAGCGCTCCCAGAGTGGACCATGACGGAGAACAGCTCAAAGGTCAGCGTGTTCTGAAAATAGACAGAGAAAATTGTATCGTTTAGAAAGAAGACATTCCGGAGAACTTTTGAAAACGCCAGGGACATTCACCATGGATAATTAATAGCTAATGATATGCTATATATGTACACATGATGCAAGCATGCACAATAAACAGGATACAGCTTGTAATAACATTTTATGCAACTCAACCACCATGACCTGCAACATGTTGGCTTGGTCATCACGTGGAGCGCGCAGTGACCAGGTTAAATAAGTAGGATAAGGATTAGATAAGACTCTGTATCCGCAGAAACCCAATAATAAGGACTGAATTGGGGCAAGAGAAACTTGAACAGGACTCCCTACTTTTGCCTTTTAACACACAGCTAACTAATCAAGGGTATTCAACACAACGACAATCCAAAATATATCTGTAGTTTAAGTATTTATTCAAACAAGGACCATGCACACAAATACATTAAACTCACAAACAAGAGAAGAGGTGTTTTATGCTAGATGCTAGATGTTAGCCAATAGCTCATTTCCATCTGCAGTCCTTCTATTGAGCGATCCAGATGATTACCTTTGGCTTCAGCACCCTCTCCGTGCTGCCGGTGCTGTCCAGGCAGATGCCCTCGTCTACACAATCTTCTGTGGAAAAATCGTTGCTCATCTGGTCGCTGTGGCAACTGCCTTCATTCTCTGCTCCGCTGTCAGTGCAGCTCTCGGTCTGAGGCGACTTCTAGAGAGGAGGCCGTTTCAAAAACAATAATTGAGAAGGGTTCAAATGTGTCATATGCTCTTAGATCCACATGAACAAAAGAATACACCTGTAACACATCTGGTGTTGCCTTCGTGGGCCAAATGGTGTTTGTTTATTGTTTAATTATCACGCCCTTTTACAGAACCACTATAAGAAACAACACCAATAAAAATGATCAAGGTGTGTCATATAGTGTTCACTCACAACCAGATATAATGGTGTTGAGAGGGTAACAATTCCTATAGTAACCTGACTGTTAGTTATCCCAATGGATTATGATGGAAAATCTTCTGCTTTATTAGTTACTGCGATCATCTTAACAAAGTGGAGTGTGGGATATTTCTTTCTTTTTCCAGCCATAGCTTAAAATCACAACAAATTATTGCTGATTAATAAACGACAGAAGGACAACCATGTAGCAGTGCTTCTCAAAGTGTGGTCCGCGGACCACTGGTAGTCCGTGAGCGCCCCCTAGTGGTCCGTGAGTATATTGGTAACATTTCACATTTGAAATAAATTAATTGATTTAAGTTTTTCGCACTCTCGCGGGAATATCTCCGCAATGGAACGAGCTTAAGTTTCACTTTGATTGCATGATATAGCCCAGATAAGCACCTTCTTCACACATGTTGCCACTTGTTTGTACAATTTTCAGGCGATTTGTAAAAAACGATGTGTTTTTGGATATTTGTGGAGTTAGGTGGTCCGCAAGTGTTTTTTTATTGGTTAAGTGGTCCTTGGTATGAAAAAGTTTGAGAAACACTGATGTAAGGGTATTGATACAATGTAAATCAGAAGAAGGGATAAAAGGAGATACTGCCATTTCTGCTCCTCTCACCTCATCTTCCACATCGATGAATGGACTCATGTCAAGCTCCTCGGGGAAAGCCATGCGGTCATTCAGCTTAATGCGGTGCATAGTGGTGTAGTCAAAGTCAAAGCGCTTCAGCTGGAGTGTCAGCAGGTAGGGGAAGTGCAGAAATCTCAGACCCTGTGTGGAGAAGCATTTATTAAAGATTCAGGCAGGTTACTAACGGGACTCTTGTCTTCACGTAGAGCAGAACTCCCATGTCACATTTTCAGTGAGCTCACCTTCCGGGCGTCACATTTCTTTTTGCACCGTTCACAGAAGTACTGGTTGGGCCCGTCAAGAGTTTCTGGTTGCATGAACGCATGCAAAGCTTCTTCCTGTAGCAGAAAAGATGTTCCATTTTGATAAAAGATTAAAATATTAAATGATCAAAAAACTGTACTAAAAAGGTGCTTCAGAAAAGCACAGAATTTAAACAGGTTTGATCCAAATGTGAAAACCAAAGACTGTTTGTTTGAGCCTTTGCTGCCAATGAGCGAAAGGTTTAAAATGATGAAATGTGGCGAGATGACGCACCACACTGCTGTAGGCCTGGCTGGCTCCGAAGGGTCGGATCACTAGAGGGATGTCCAGGTAAGTATCAATCCTCCAGCTCTCATAGCCACACTCCAGACAGCGCACGTAATCCTTCAGCTTCCCCTGGTACAGCTGGTTGATCAGGTCCGCCTGAGGATATGAGGCATGACAGTCAGGCCTTCTCAGCCACGTTTCAATACCAACAATACAGCATGTGTTTGGGCTTCAAAAGGTTATCATACTTCTACACTCCCTCTCATAAAAGCAGCCAATTATTTCTGTGTGACACTACCAAGCATCCAAAATGCATGGATGGCCTAGGATGGATGGAACAAGAGATATATTGAATACAATTACTTTATTAATAACTTAGCCCACTCCTGTAATAATCTAAGTAGAGCTACGTTTGGTAAAATACAAGAAAATACATGTGGAAACTTGTTGTTACCAAATTATTTGTAGAGTGGTCATTATAAGACAACTCAGACTCAGGTTATCAGAGAAATCTCAAGGCTCAACTTCCTTGGATCCAATGCTGGAAACTGTTTTTATTCCTTACATAGATTTGGATAAAAATGGGGGATGCATTTGTTCAACAGTTTTACTATTAACTGTTCATTGTTTATCAGTTCAAATGTTTACTTTAAGTGTTAACTTCTGCAAAGTAAGCTGTACAAATATTCAAATCCATTGCAGCAGTTTGTTATTTACGTTTGCTGTCGTTTTTTTATCACATGCATCTATTCTGTGCCAACAAGCATCTCATGTGTACAGAACAGGCACACTGGATTAAGTGTTCGCAGTTTATAATTTGCTCCCGAGATAAGACACAGCTAACCCAGGGGCTTACTGGCCCATTTCCCTTCTCCCACAGTGGCTCTTTTGTTTCCAGCCCTTAAAATTGGCTGCTGAACTTGTTGTTGTCAGAAGTCTAGGAAAACGTCTTGCGTTCTCCTACCTGCTCGGTCTGCTTCCACTTTTGCTCCAGGGCATCGAACATGACCCTGCACAGCTCCTGGACGTCATGCTGCTGCCAAGCTGAAAGACATAAGTGTAATTGAGTTTACAGATGCAGAGGCACAAGGTCTCTCCTTTTACACGCACACGAGCCATGTGACTCTAGTCACAGGGGAGTTAAAAGGCTCACCCTCGCTGCTGTCCCAGCCGAAGCTCCGCGTCACATCGGTGGTCTCGATCGCTCGTTTCTTACTCGTCTGCAGCAGAATAAACAGCCTCTGCAGCTGGTGGGGTATACTGGTGACTGGATCCTCCTCACTCTCCTCAAACTCCCAGCTGAAGGTTAAACAGAAGTTAAAATCATACCAAAAGTAGTTCTTTGTAGATAAAACTTCACATATGCCCCTTTCACACCAATGCGTTTTCAGGGCCGGCTCGGAGCTAGAGCCTGAAAAGTACCGGTTTTTCCTCTTCACACCGCAGCGGCGCCGCCTCTTAGCTCTGGAATCCGGTTCGTTTCCAGCTCCAAAAAATTGTCGGTCTAGAAGCAAGATTCCGGAGCTAAGAGGCTGCGCCGCTTACGTCTCTCTTACGTCGAGGCGGGGGCGGGGGCAGGGGCAGGATAAACCTCCTGAACAACAACAAAATGCCCGCGTTTTATCCAGTTTGTACACAACGATGGAAAACCTCAAACTTAATAAGCAGCAGTGGTCCACTGAAAAGACCAGCTACCTAGTGGCAATCTGGTCTTCCGAAGAGGTACAGAGGAAGCTGGAGGGGAACACGCGGTCCAAAGCTATTCTGCAACAATTGCAGCGAGAGATGGCAACCGCTGGTTATGACCGTAGCACTGAACAGATTGGCAACAAATTGAAAAAAATAAAGAAGGATGTGTGAGAGATTTCCACGCAGTTTGGCTTTTATGAAGCAGGCGCGTAAACGGTCACGTCATGACGCAAATGATGAGGCAATGACGCAGTACCACCCCGGCTCTGTGTGGTGTGAACAAAGCAGGAGCAGAAAAGGGAAACCGGAGCTGAACCAGAAAAGCTCTAGCACGGAGCTAGAACGGGAAAAGCGCTGGTGTGAAAGCCGCAAAAGATACCTAGAAGTAGATCCTTACTTGTAGAGAGCATTTCTGAACTCGGGGGTCATGTACAGGGTTTGTAGAAGACTGTTCAAATAGCAGGTCATAGCTTGGTTGACCAGGCCCACGTAACCTACAGCAGGGAGGGAGGGGGAGACGAGTAGTAAGAGGACAGTCAGGTTTGTATGAAGAGAGCGAGGTCACATATTGAACAGGCGACTGAGCCTCACCTGTGTCTGATTTGTTGAGGATGGAGGAGTAGGAGTAAGAGGGGCTGCTGTAGTCTCCGCTGCAGCCTGCAGTGCTGTCTCTCGGTAAGGGCCCGATGAATCGATCCTGGGAACTGTCATCCAGCCCGCTGCTATCTGCAGTTCCTGACTCTTCCTGTGCACGTAAACAGTCAGAGAGAGACTATTTTAGTAGGATATACCATATAAATTCTAGAACACATCTTGTTGATAGTGTACCACTCACCGATGCAATCTGGGGCTGCTCTCCATCTTTGTCCGTGAGCTGGAGGAAATTCCTCTTATTGCCAGGCTCAAACCCAAAATCTGAGAGGGACATCTCACTGCTGTGATCCAGTGGTGCCTAGAGGGGGAAGAGTAAAAACTCAAATGTAATTAAAACAATCCCTGGAAAATACAGAACAGCCCCAGAACATCCAAAGCTAGTCTACAAACTCCATGAACTCACAGGACTAAGAGTCTCCCTGAACTCATTTTCAGCAGATTCCCTGTATCGGTTCGTACAAGGAAAGTAGCCTGAAGCCAACATGTGAGAAATGCTTTTATGCAATACTTTCTGTCTTTCTCCTGAGCAAACTGAGAGCAGGCAAAGTGTTGCAGTGGAAGCATACAGGAGCTTAATCCACTGACCTACTCAGTGAGATAACAACAGACACAGCACCTGGGCTTTGGCCTGGGTCCGCAGCAAGATTAGGCTATGATTAGGCAGGAGTAGTATGTAAACAAACGGGGACAAACTCATAGTTAACACCGAGGAGGGACACTAAGAATGTGTCCATGCATATTAAAGTACTCACTTTTAGAAATGCCATTCTTATTGACTTTATACTTTGTATCAGAGAACAATAGTCTTGCGTCAGGCCGTTGTGTCCTTGGGCAAGACACTTCACCCGAATTTGCTCCTGTGGGTATTGTCCACAGTAAATGACCATTACATGTATGATCTGTATTTGTAAAGCGCTTTGAGAGTCTTTGATAAAGCGCTATAATAAATATAAGGATTATTATTAATAGTATGGCAAAATCCATTTTTGAACACTGATAGCATAGATTATTAAAACTATAAACGCTGTTGGGTTTTTCTATCAGCTTCACTGAGTTCATGGTGAGGTGACACGACCCTCCCATTGCAGCAGGGGTAATGAGTCCTAATATAAACTTCTTATAAGTGGAAGATATGTGAACTGTAAGTAGAGACAGGGAGCCATTATCATGAGGCTCAACTGCTGCACTAAACCAAGATTTGCGTCTGCAGAAAAAGCTATGAACACAGCCAGATCATGCTGTCCCCTTTTAACAATGTTGTGCATATTACCAAACAAATGCATACTTCACATCCAGTCAACTATTCAAAGTTTGTGTTGCTGGCTTCCTGACAAACAATAAATAGGTACAATGTTCCCTCTTATTTTCTCTGCCACACTAAAGTGCAACTTTTATCCAGACGCGACCTTTTCCTCTGAGGGTAATCACAGAACTTTGTCCTACAGCCCAGTTGTAATCCAGTATTACTGTTATAAACCGTTCACATATGTTGGCAGACAAAAGTGACTCTAGTCTAGATTAATGAATGTCCTAACCATGTCCTGCGTATTTCCCCAGGCAAGGTCAAAAGTGGCTTTCACATATCCCGCTTTGTGGGCAACATCATCATAGAGTTTGGAGAGGGTGGTGGAAGCCGGCAGATTCAGGGTCAGCCTCTCGTTGACCGTCTTTGCGCTGGTGATGTCCTGAATGATGCACAGCACTCTGGGCTCCTCAGCTGCATTTTGGATCTGAAAATCAAGAATGGCGGAAATGATTAACATGATGTGTTGGCAAAATCTCCTTTCTGTATTTTTGTGTTGCAAACACCATGTACTGGTGAAAAGCTAAGCTTTAAAACAAACGGTTAGTAAGGCTATTCGACTAATGTCTTCATTAGAAACAAGCCAGTACAGAAAATAAAAACTCCTTCTCATGTCATGCCGCAGTAAAGACACTTCTAATGGCGCATTTCCACTACAGCGCGGAGCTCGCTTTAAGCGTGCTGAGCTGTGCGGGGCCCGTTTTTGGTTGCGTTTCCACTTAGCGGCTAACGGGTACTATTTCACAGTTTTTCTGGCCCCATAAAATCGAGGTTATTTCCAGGCCAACAACCAGGCTGAGTATGCTAAACTAGAGAGAGAATCGCTGGCAAGGGGGTAAGAAATAGAGAACTGTATTCCTAACCATAACCAAGTTCCTGATTTCAATACAAATGTTCTGTACCACATTTTTAGAGAAAGTTCCTTGTGGTTACTTGTGTTAAGAACAAATGTAACAATTTAGAAGCTTAGAAGTAAAGCTTATACTGGGTATTCAATGCATCAACAATGAGTTATGCAGAAAACAACTTAAAACTAAATGTTAAATATTATTCTAAATCTATTTAATTACTTTAAGTTAGTATTATAGTATGCTAGCAATATGTTACTATAACTATCCATTTATGGTTATAACTTGCGATTACAGAAGAAAAAGCTATTTTCCTTACAACAAAACAGCTTTTCCCCAAAAGTGACAGCTTTGCAAAAGAAGCTTAAATGTGCTTTTCTTGTCTAAATATACCACACCTACACATGACTGGACAAGCCCAGTCACAGATCTTAACTTACAAATCTTAAAACAGAAAAACAATGACAGATTGTTAATTTTCTCCAAAACTGTTCACATTCTGTTATAATAAAACCGGCCATGCAATTGCTGTCAGTTTCTTTAGCCTCGTGTATTGGTGAGCATTTGGTATTTAAAATGACTGAACGAAGGCATAATGAAGAGATAGAATAAGAGTTAAGGCTGAGTCCTTAGCAGGGACCCGGGTTATAATATGACCTTGCCATTTTTGTCTATCTTTGGATGTACTATCTAATGAAGGAATTCCAAAATATAATCCACAAAAAATAACAGAGAGGGAATCACAACCACATCAACCCCAGTGTTTCCCCTACCATTGTCTTAGAGGGGCAACGGAGCCCCGCGCCCCCCCTGAAATTCAAGGTGTTTTAAAAAAAAAAAAAAAATTATAATTTTTTTCTTTCTGTTTCTACTGTCACTTTTCACATTGAACATGTGCTCTATTATTAAATAAACTAAACGCTTTCATTTTCAGTTGCGAGTTTAGTGTTTTTGACCCTAAGAAACACTGATGCATTAATCAATAACAATAATCCACAGTTCCTCTCTCTGCTCCAGAGGATTTCAAAATATAAAGCAGTAAACCTAGGGGAAACACTGATAGGGTTAAATGAAATTCTGGTGAAAATGCTGTCTTCTTAATCTTGTATACTTTTACTGGATTAGATACTGCGTGATTTAAATTACAATGCTGTCATTGCATAATATCATCATATCTTTGCTTCAGACAATATTTAATACAGTTGTACTGGGGCCGTTTGGGGTTTATTTTTGATACAAACATGAGGAATACAAAAATATCCCTCTGGTATCTGTACCAAAGTATTGTTATGTTGAAAGGGGTATTTACATTTTTAAATATATAATTATTTTCCAGAAATTGGTCTTTCATAGAACACAAACTCTAGTAAGGTGCAAGTTTCTTATATTTATAAATCTTTTGTTTGTGACTCCTGGTGAACAATGTCATCACGATGCTGCTTCATGCATTTATTTCACACCATTCGTTATCTCTCTACCACTCAACACACAAGCCATGGCTACCTGAGACATCCTCTTTATCTCATCAAAAATACTCTGTCTGCAAATCCAAAACGCACCCTAAAGATATATAGAGATAGTTAGGGGGAAGAACAATTTAAAAGAAACACATCAAGGAAATAAGTTGTCAAACATGTCTGATTGCCTTCAAAAACAGACTGCCTTGAAGGCTTACACCAACATATCAACAACTTTGCCTGTGATTTATTCACGTTACACAAGTTTTTGCATCCTCTTTGTGATCTTGGCAAAGGCTGATTGACAGGTCCTATAAAGTAGGAGCAGCGAACAACACAGTAGTGTATTATGAGATTAAAGGTTATGTTTACCGTGAATATAATCACAAGGTGCTGACATGAAGCCCCGGGCAATGCGAAGCACAGACAGTATTTATTTATAGCTGTGACTGATTCTAAATGGACAAAACAAATGATGACAGGCTATAATGTTGGTAAATGCCAGCATCAATTAAATAATTTCAACAAGTGAAGAAGCCAGCCACCAAATTAGAAGATTCTCTTTGTATGTATTGGCATGATCTGCTGGTAAATGTATGGGAGCACATTGACAATTAACATTTTTCACCTAAAATATGTTACGGATACAACTTTCTTTTTTTTTTTATGACATTTTTTGAAACTGGCTCAATAAAATGTATCAGCTGCCTAAAATCCAATAGTTTTTAGAATGGTGAAAACTATTAAGCAGGTTTTATGCATAATTGCTTTACCTTTCAATGAAAAAATAAGTATCGACAAAGTACAAACATAATGTAAATATTTGAAACTAAAACATAAGGATACTCCAGTGGCAGTAACAAAATATATTTTAATAATTGAGACAAACATCACATGTTCACGGCCAGTTTGTATTGGCTTGTTGTGAATAATACATATTTAATCATGAATAAAGTCCTTCATAATAATAAATAATGGTGTTCTTGAAATGACAGAGCATGGATATGCCAGTATTACTTCCAAACGTTTGGCTTTGATCACAAACACAAAGCCATTCAGTAGCCACCTGTCATAAATGTGACAGGAATGTGATTTTGTTTGTGATTATATGACTGGGGAATATTTACTGGGCGTCTCTCTTCACAAATGTTTCATTTAATTTGGCATCAACAGAAAGCACTGAGTGTCTTCTGGTTTCCCAGAACAACACACCACTGCTCTCATCCACTTTCAACACCAAACTGCAGCTTAAATTACCTAAACTTGAGCTCATGTCTTGTTCCACAACATTAGTCAATCATTTGTAACCTTGTTGTTGCAAATGATTTCAACAACAGGACTAATACTGGAAGAGAAACTTTACTTGGTTTAAGTGAACTGTGGAATCAGTGGAGCGGAACTTTTTAATAACATAATAATAACACCAACCATTCTCCATCTTAAATTGTTTTTTCAGCAGTTAAATGGGATTTTTAAGTACTACAATCTGAAGGACAAAGACATTTCTTCCTGCTGCCAAAATGCTGCGTAAATAAACCCGTTTCCTCCTTTCTAGCTGAATTCATCCGTGTTTAAGTGTAATTGTTTTATTTATTTGAATAGATGTATGACACATTAATACGCTGTACAGCCTCAAGCTACACTACATCTATGAATTACATTGCTGCATGATCAGATGCAATTTTACACATAGCCCTAATGTCAACGAGTGACGTCCTATGTTTGACGTATTACTCTTCAGCTGACGTAAATGCAGCCACGGTGCCAATACAAAAACACCCATAATTTATTAACTTTTAGTAGATGTACGTGAGCACAAAATAACAAATGAATATGACTACCATCGCGGACGTTTATGACAATATCACAGTTATCCTTAGCAGACATGTCAGTACCAAAACAATCTAGTAATGTTAACGATTAGTGGTGTTTACAGAAGCTGTATACACGATTACATTGCTACATGTTGAAAAAACATGACAACGTAGTCAAATGTAGCTTAATATATAATCGTTTAATGAAACGCTAGAATGTTGTGCGAAACATTGAGCCAAACAAGCAAATGCTAAATTACTTAAACATTGTGACGAATGGCGTTCTTCGTTCGTGGTTGCCAAAATACTAAACGGGAGACATGTGTATTCAAACATAAGGAACAAATAAAAACACCTGCGTCTTCAGTAGTAACGTTAGCAAGTAGCTAGCTTGCAAATCTGACCAGCTAACGTTGACTTCCCAGTAAAGCTACAAGTTCTGTTCAAAACAATCTGCAAACACGGGCCAGAAGGGGTCAACGTATACATTATTAAGAAGCTAACATTAGGGGTAAACGTTGCTTTAACAATGTCAGTCAGCTCCAAGGATGTAGGTATTTACATATAACTTCAATAACATCTAGCTGTGTTGCAATTATCCAGCCGTACAAAGCTAACGACGCTTGTTCAAGCTAATGTTACTTGCAAGTTGGCTAAGTAATGTTGACAATATCGTCTTTGTTTTGAGGTTAACATTTAAGAAATGTATACGGTTTATATTGTGAAAACAGGACATGTTAACGCAAAATAACTGAATTATAATTACGCTAAAGCTTAAGGTACGGTCATAAAAACACTTTGTCTGAGCCGCTTTACCGATGTTAGCTTTTACGTTAGTTAGCCATGTCATGATAGGCCGTCTAGTGTAGCTAACGGTTAGCAGCTAGCCTCTAAATGATACACCAAGATCACAAACTCCCAAAGTGGTGCAAAAGTGTTGCTATTATTAATGAGCGTGGAATACAAGGGTGACTTTCAGAGGTTGATTCTCCAACCGGGGCAGGGTCCTCACCTCTTTGGGTACGAACTGGTTCTCCTCGCTAGGCACCATTTCCATTTGTACGACAGTTTAGACAAGCATCTATCCGGACAAGGATGTCAGCGAAAAAACTTTGCAGCGGTAAACACAAACATGGTTTGTGTCCGGTCTGTTGTAAATTAGGATGCTTGGACAACAAAATTAAACTTGCCCAAACTTGTAGGCTTATCAAAGTGATCGCAACACTCTCGGTTACACCAACCAAGCACGAAGTGTCCTGCTATACATGGAGAAAAATGGCCGGTGTTTTACTCCGCGAGACTTCACTCAGGAGCGAGCTTTAGCGTCACATTCCAGCCAGACAAGCGTGTGTGATGTGTGCGCAGGATGACGTCGGTGAGTGTGTGAGTGTGTGTGTGTGTGTTTAATTGTTTCTAAAAGGGTACAAATGCCAGAAACACGCATAAACACTTGGTTAATGGGTAAGCTTGTATGAGAGAGTGATGCAGGCTGTGCATGGGTTGGTTAGGGAATGCTTTCAATTTAACAATCGAGGCTGCTTCAATAGATTACAGCCATTAGGCCTACAATATATTAAATTGAGTAAAGTGCACAATATGTTTTCATGATCAGAATCTCACTTGGAGCACCTAAAACTATTCCATTCATAACGTATTACATATAGGCCTATCATTTATTTTTTTAAATGAATTTGTGAATGATGATACTGTCACATTTCTCATCTGCACCATAATAATGTTGCATGTAAATAACCTGCAGATGGCATGAAATAAAACTGACATTCGATGCAACAAATGCTACTAAATGCATGGCTCAAAACATAAATAGGTGACATTTAGGGGAGGGGTACAAAGTGAGACGCACATTAACACATTATATATTTTTGCATACAATGCAATGGTTTTTCGGGCAGTGAGGCAGCTAAATCTATTTTTCACATTCAAACCGTGCAGCAAAAAAGGTCAAAGTTTGATAACAGTCCCCTTTCTGTATGCTTGCATGTTCTTTCAATGTTTGTTCAAGTTTATTTTTGGTGCTTCCTACCACATTCCAAAAAGTAGTTAGATGAATTGACATTAACGTTCGTATATAAAAACACACTCATAGTGATACAGTAATCAATAGTAATTTCAAAAGTGCATTAAAAGAGTCTCAACCTTCAGTTTTATCAGAGCTTCATTATGCAGCTCAGACCTCATATTGTAGTTACATTAATAACCATACAGGGGACTTTAATGTCAACCACTGCCTTTGAATTACATAAGCAGTATTTGTTAGATTTGTTAGTTATTATTTTTTCATTTCTTTATTTTTGTTATGTAGCCCACTCTTCAATTCTTCCAGCCTGTGTTTTATAAACCTTCATAACTTCTGTGTATGAAAGAGGTTTTATGCAGTTTTATTTCCCTTCCTCTGCCCTTTTAAACGGTAATGTAAAGCACCTTGACTTCCCTCAGTGGATGGTATATGTTTATTAAAGGACTTTGCCTTGCCACATGCTGCCCCGTTGGGTTATTAAATCTGATAGCAGATTACTACAAGTATCCCTTACACATTATACATACAACTTTATCTCTGATTATTAGTCCCACCATTTAGTTTAAAAAGTTTTTTTGGGCTGTTTTAATTTCACAGTAAGGCTCTCGAGAACAACAACAACCCAACATCAGCAGTATAAATGTTATCTGAAGAACTCACTGGTGTGTTTATATAATAATGTTAGGTGCACTGATGCTAAATAATTGAGACTTAATAAAGAAATGTTACCAGTCATTTGAAAATAAAACCAACAAAGTTTATGTTCTTGTTTATTTCTATACAACCCTATCCCGAACGTTACATCTCATGCTGTTCAGTTTTCACCCGAGGATTTCACGTTTTAACCTTCTAATGAATGAAGTTACTGTAGGTTAACTTTCATAAAACAAGTTATGTTTCAATTATGAATAAGCACAGACTTGACAACACATCCTTATTTAGTGACCCGAATAAATGATCATCAAGTTGTCAACAACCACTCTGTTTCATTTAGGGAATGACATATTCACAGATGTAATTTTTGAGGCTGCGACACACCTCATCAGACCACTTTCCTTGTGCAGCCACTGAAAGAGCAACACAGCTCTCCCTCTTCGTTCCTGTGGGCTGCTTCTTGGAGCGGTCCCAGTTCAAGTAGCTGACTGGTAGACTGTTGACATCAACATACTGGCCTTCTTTCACTATGTCTGCCACACCGATCCAGAAGTCCTTGGATCCAGGGGCGCTCCTCTTTGCATAATCTCTAAGTTCATTGTTTTCCATCAAGTCCCGTGGCGTTGCAAGCGTTCCTCCTTGTGCAATGCAGTCTTCATTTGCATCATGGTAATGTTTGGGTTCCTCAACCGTGATATAACACTTATTGTAAGCTTTAATCCCCCGGAGACAGACTGAAAACACAGTATCGCTTCATGAGTGAATTGTATTGTAAATAATGTACATATATGTTTTGTAACCCCCTGTTTTCCTCCAGAAAATAAATAGAAATATAATATCATAAACAGCGATTTATGAGTTTATACAATTTAGCTTTGTTTGTTTTTTCTAGCATCAACTTGGCCGCCCCACTTCAGCACTGATCTAATGAGGGCACTAAGAAGTTCAAAATCAATCTTTTTTAGAAACCAAATATATCTTTGCAAAATCCACACTCTTGCATTTCAGCGCATTAGCCTGAATTCACAAGTAAAAGTGAAGAAAAGCACCAAAACATACCTAAAACACAAATCAAATAATTAGCCAACCATCGCATGCTTTACTTCTCGTTCAATAAACATACTAAATAGTGCAGTGATGCTTTTGCATTTGATATATTACTGTAACCCCCTCTGTCTTTAATCTCTTCCATTAGGGCAATACCTGTCTGCAACGCCTGTATTTCCTTCAGTAAATTCACCTCCTGCCACAACCTCTCCAGCTGGGACTTAACATCATCTTCTTCAGCAGCTGTATCTCGACAAAGAGGCAAGAAAAAAAAGGTCAGATGAACATCAATATCAAGAACATTGTTAATGAACTATGTGAGTAATTATACCTCCGGACTGACGGGGTGATACAGCTTTCCTGGTGCGAGATGGGCGACTGGAGCTGAAATGAATCAAAGAAAGGCAAAGAACGAGGAGAACAAGGATGGCCAGACGTGCCATATCTGAGACCTGTGGATCCTACAGTGACAGGACACAGTTGCACACCTTGTACTTCTCCGAAAGGAACCAAAAACACTGCAGGCAGCTCGATATATACTGGCCCTTCTGTATGCCTTGCTGGCTATGCTCCCTGCATTGGCTCTAACTCTGTTTCAGTCCAAACATCAGGAGGAGGTGAGAGGGGTATAAGGGTGGAGTGGCAAATAATGATTTACTTGTGTCTAGCATTTGATAAATATTTACTTGGAACAAGGTGCACCAACAAACTGGGAATGCATTGACTACTTCTCCATTACAGAGTGTTAAAGACATGCTAAGACACTTTTTCTACAAAGAATATTCCACTTCATTATCACCTGTATATGTATATATATATATATATATATATATATATATATACATATAAGTGGTATTCATCTACTGCAAAAAGTATCATTTACAACTTCCAGTATATGAAAACAAATAACCAGGTCAATTTTGCAGCTAAATATGGACTATAAATATTTGTTCAATCACACAGAGTTGCAGTTACTGTATGTAATGATTCCAAATAAAGCTTCTATTAAACCAGAGGAAGTCCAGTTGGGGTGCAGGCAAAGCTATTTTTAGAGTCAGATGTTGTATACAAATGGGAGGGGGAGCTAAATAAGGAAAACCCTTGGGCATACAGGCTCAGTATAGCAGTACAACTATCAAATATAATCTTCAAATGTTGCACTCTCCAAATTATACATTTAAAATGAGGCCTCCTCCAAGTGACAAATGTATCAACAGTATTCTTAGTATAATATAAATGCAGTTATAAGAACCTAACTTAGAGAAGAGGCACAGTTCTTGCTTAGTTTGCACACAGTGTTCAGAATATTTGCAAACAGTACATGCATTGACTCTGGCTATATACCTGGAAACATAATTGAAAAGGTCAACAGTGCAGTACTGTTGGAGCAAATAATGCATTAGATGGCAGCTTTTCTCTTTTGGGGCACATATTTAAAAAAAGGCCTGACTTTGTTGCCAAACTGAGGGACTGTGCAGAATATGCAGTATAATGGGATACCCTGGTGATACCATGCTTATGTAGACCGAAAAACATTTTAACATCCCAATGTTATCACGGAGTTCGATTATTATTTTAATCCAGGTAAACGCAAATGTTCCACATAACATACCATTGGTGTAATACCTCAATAAAATAAAAATAAATTAACTGAGAGAAATCAGAATACTTGCAGATACATTTATTCAAGTAAACAGAGTTGTACTCAAAGAAGGTTCACACCAGAAAATGTGACAAAAATATACGACCACAGGTAAACCAGAGTTTATAAGGAGATTGTGAACACATTATGATGTTTAACACTTTTATAGACATGTTTTCTTTTACAAGGCAATATGAAAACACACACAGGCACACACACAAATAAAAATGCCTGACAATAATATTGAGATGTATTTCCATAGTGTCTAAAAGCAATTATCCATACTTATCTATACTCAAGTCTACATATACATTCTAAAAATACTTTATTCCATGACTTCTGTGCCTATTAACACTGTCTATCCACCATTTATCATTCATCTTTGAAGCATGCAGCCTGTTAGTTTGCACATTGACATTTTCTTAAAGGCATAAGGAAAGACTGATTTAATTGTTGAGAAAAATACTTTTTTGATATATAATCCAGTTTTGTTTTTATAATTCAAGTGAAGAAATACATAGTTCAAATGACTAGTCAATACGCTGTATAAGCAAGGCCCCAAACAATTATGTTTTAATTAAAAATTAAACCAGATCAGTTATTAGAATATGTGTGGACATTTCATAAAAACTGGCAGAGTAAAGCAGAGGGCATCGTTATTATGTAAAATAATACA